CTCCTTCCTTCCCTTTTCAAATATAAGACAATTTTGTTTTGCATATGCAGGGAAGAAGTTCTATAGCTGTGTGTCTAATGCTTGGACAGAATAGCTTTTCAATATTGTGTGGTACTGGAACCTGTCCTAGGTAGAAGACAAATTATTTGTGTACTAGTACTTGCACTTCTAAGAGAAAATTGTTTTCTGAAAACAGTTTTTGCATTTGTTTGTACACAGGCTTAAAATGCATTCCTCTTTTATTCCTGACACCTGATATGAGAAATGGGTAGTGTACCTACCATTGAAATGTTCCAATACAGCAAAGCCATCTTCTGAAAGGGGTGAGAGCAATTTCTAAAGGAGCTGGTGTAGCTTACGAAGGTTATCATGCAGAAACAATAAAACAGATTCCAGTTTGTATTTGGCACTATGGAATTTTTTTGTCGGGCCTTTATATGTATTCATACAAGCTTCCACTCTGTTGGAAGGAGGAGCAGGTAAGCTACCTGTGCCTACGTAAACCCCTGTTCTCTCTGGAGTTACGTGGGTAGAGCTGATTCTGCAGGGAGACTAAGGGAGATAGGTTAGCAGGTCTCCTCCACTTGCTTCCAGCCTTGATTGCAGAAGTCTTTATTATTGTGTACTACGTTAGGGAAAGTGGGAGAAGAACCAGACCAACACAAAATCACCTAAAAGAGATTAGTCTGAAATAGGATCCTTTTCAGGTACTCTGAGCTTGATTCTTATGCAGTTACTCACAGTAGGCATGTCAGAGGCTACATTTGTAAGCAACAATGTTCTGTTAGTGGGAAAGGCTGGTGGAAATCAGACTTAGACATCAGATTCACCCTGCTTACCTGAAAATAAAAAATTGAGATTATTTGCAGTAAAGCAATTTATTGAAGCAATTTTTTTTTCCCTCCAGGTGTTAGCATGCTTTAAAATTCACATCTTCATGCTTTTCTTAAATAGTAGGGCTAGTGACATACATACCTACAAATACAAAGTGAGCTCTGTGCTGTATGAGAAGCACCAGTTGTAAAAATCAGCCCAGGGAAAAGGCGGTCGGTGCAAGGCCAGGTAACACACTGGGGGGGGGCTTTTCTTTTACTTTCTCTTTTGCTTTGGCCTTAAACAACCCCAGCCTGGGGTCTCATGGAGGTTATCGCTGCCCGGCAGCTCGTACCGCTGAAGCAGCGGGATAGGGGAGCG